AAAGATCACAATATAGAAATGGTAAAAAGTTATGTATTAAAAAAAAACAGAGGACCAAAAAGTTGTAAAAACGGATAGAAACAAAGCCTAAAACCTTTCTAAAAATAGTTTTTAATACTAAAGATCAGCCAGTAGGTTTTGAATTGGATATTTTACTAGACTACAGGTTAATTTTTGATATTTTAAGTCATAAGTCGAAAATATGCCTACGGATGAGATTACCTCTAACTTTTCGGATACAATGAATTCCAAAACTTTTAAAATTTTTTAAAGTTGCTAACGACTCATCAGAAATCACAGCATAATTGTAAATGTATTGATCATAGTTTGAGAAATTTAGCTCTCAAAACAAGAAATATATTTCTTGTTTTTTAAAATAAATTGCAGAGTAATTTAAAAGTACATTTAAAAATTATTTTTTTACGTATATTTTTGAGATATAATGCATTAAGCTGAAAGTTGATATGTTTATAAATATTTATTGTACATTTAAAGCATTTAAACGCTGAATTCTAAAGCAAATTTGCCTCAGATACAAGTGATCTGTAACAGTAAGGGATCCAGCAATTTTTTATTTTTTAGATGGCTAAAATGGAGTAAAATACAAATATTTTTATTTATATTCATATATGTTAAATAATGATGCTTTTGAATAAATTACAATGATTGGACGCTGGAAACAAAAAAGCCCTAAAATTTTATCTCTCTACCCCAAATGTGAAAGCAACAAGTTAATGAAATTTTTTTTTTTAACTAAATTTATATTTTTTAATAAATTTTTAAGTATTGCTTAGCAATCTATAAGCGTTCAAAAATTATGCCCATATAAAGTTTGTAACTCCCTCGACTTAAGAGGGGTTTTAACTTTATATGGTCATAATTTGTGAACGCTAAGAGATAATACTGCGAAACTTAAAAGTTAATTATAAATAAAAACTTAAAAATAGCATTTAAGTTAAGAATTGCAAAAAAACTATTTTTCAAATATATTGCTTTCACGTATTTCCCAGGGTTAATGATATTTTATTGCATTTTTCGCTCTCAGCCTCCTATTATTGAAATATTTTGCAAAATATCATTATTTGATATAAGTATAAACATAAAAATTTTGGAGTATGCGCTATGTCTGTTGGCTATATCAAATACCAAAAAACGCTGGATCCTTGATTGATCTGTTGTTTAAAGCCTACTTTTGGCTTTTTTTTGACATGAATCGGGGCGAATACTTCTATCAAGAAAAACTAAAAAAAAAAAAAATTATTTAAATATTACCTATGCGGCAGCCATTAGCCACTCTGCATAAAAATTGGTTGTCAAAAAAAATTATGGGGTTAGCTTTTATATATATATTTAAGAAAGAACTTCAAAATTCTAATAACTTACAAAGTACTTCCGTTTTAATTTAAGACTAACAAGGAATTATTTTAATTAAAAATGTGACTTTAAATATTTTTGCAGATTTTTCAAAATTATTTGAGTTCTTTTTCAGCATTCAGCAAAATTTAGTTTAAGAGTAAAAGCGGCAATATAAGTTTTTATTCATCATTTAAAGATCTATAAAAACACATGCTATCAGAGGCAAAGTTATGTTTTATAGGGGGTGTCTAGCCCTTCAACAACAAATATTATTCGGAAAATTGGATACTGTAGTTAGATAAATAGTTTTTATAGTTAGCAAAAAAAAATTTTGTACGCCTTAGTCGGCAAAAAAAGATACGTCCCTACCCCTCGTTCCCCTCATCCCTCTTTATTCCTTTAAGATCTCTTCGAGACAGTTATAAAATTATTATTTTATAAAACAAATAAATCTAAAAAATTTTTGCATTAACAATAGAGATAGAAGTTAACAAATTTAAACACATTATAAAACAAAATATCTTTTACAAATAGTTTAAATTAAAATGTTCAGATTGTTTTGAAAACTTTAAGACCGTTTAGAACGTCAAGTTGCGGAATATTTAAAAGTTCTAATAAACTTGGTATAAAGATGATGATTTTTAATGAAATAATGGTCTTCATAAAAATTAAAAGTAATTTTAACAATTTTATTCATAGAATTTTGATTGGTCTTTGCATTTTCACTGTTTATATCAGCAAATTGTGTGAGGTGTTATGTAGTAACAGTGTTCTTTCATAAGTTCGACGTAACTACAAGTAAATTAATAACTTTGAGAGTTATATCGAGCATATTAGGTAATATGCAATATCGAGCATATTAGGAAATGCAATATCGAGCATATTAGGAAATGCAATATCGAGCATATTAGGAAATGCAATATCGAGCATATTAGGAAATGCAATATCGAGCATATTAGGAAATGCAATATCGAGCATATTAGGAAATGCAATATCGAGCATATTAGGAAATGCAATATCGAGCATATTAGGAAATGCAATATCGAGCATATTAAGAAATGCAATATCGAGCATATTAGGAAATGCAATATCGAGCATATTAGGAAATGCAATATCGAGCATATTAGGAAATGCAATATCGAGC